ATTCCTTTTTTTAAGCTCTACAAAACGGTTTAGAAATAAATTGCAAAATTTTTTGATTTTAGGGTAAAAAATGGGAAAAACACATTTTTACCCCATAAAACCCCCCATAAACCCCTGTTCCCATGGTCCGATTATGCTGGATCGCGAACTCGTTCGAATAAACGTAGGTTTACACGTTTGTACCAAATTTCATCAAAATCGGATCATTTTTGCTCGAGTTATCGCGCTAACGGACACATATATATATATAAATATATATATAAATATATATATATATATATGAATTCGAACGGATGGTGTTTTTGGCCTCTAGGGACCTCAAAATGAAAAAAAAAATCGGTCCCGCGTCCAGGTCTTACCATGAGTACTACGGTAATAGCTTATTCCCTATATGGGAAATTCGCTAATATTCCCTATATGGGAAATTCGCTAATATTCCCTATATGGGAAATTCGCTAAAAGTATACAACATAGAGAACAAAAAGTATATAATAACCACAACTTACATAAATATAAGGCGAAGGTATTTAAAAATTGATTTGTAAGGTTTACATCATATTCTTTTAGTTAGTAATAGTTATTGATTGAGCTGATTAAGCGGATTGTTATATAATAAAACCATTGTGCAATATTTGTATTGTCTCACATAGTAAGGATTATTTATTATTGTAATTATTATTATTTATAGAAAAATTAATAAATTCCAGAACCGCTGCCCATTGTTTTCCCAGAAAATAACACCTCAAATTTAATTTTTTTAAATACCCCCGTTACAGCAAACCTGCAGACTAAGCCAATTTCCATTTACCTAAATTGATTTTAAATCAAATGTTTTTAAATAGCATTAAGTTTAACAAGTACCTAGGTTTGCTGCTACAGGGAGGCTAATAAAGTGTGTTTTTTTAGTAAAATATTAGTAGCTTAGTATAAAATAAATAAATTTGCCAAGTTTGATCAAAATATTTCCATAAACAAGCACACCACAACATTTTACAATATTCTCCATAAGAATAACATGGGAATTTTAGAATTGCAATTTTTTGAATTTTCTCCATAAACAATAACCGTACAAAAACAATTTGATATACTAAATTATTTGTTTTTTTAAGCTATGTAATATGGTCTAGAGAGAAATTGGGAAATTGTGTGTTTTGAGGGTCAAAAATGAGAATAATCTATTTTTACCTTATATAACCCCCTGTAAAACCCTGTTTCCATGGTCTGATCATGCTGGTTTGCAAAAGTTGTAGGGTTGTGTCCACAGTTTCATTTTCATTCTTCTGACTGAACTCAGGGTGATAAGGCCTTTATAAATCTGCAGCCATGTAGAAATAAATACTTTGTTAAAACGGAGTGTGAACTGTGTGAATCGCCTCGTCTGGCACCTAGAACATTTCTGGTCCACACACGAGGAGTGAACAAACTACTATTCTGAGGTGTAATGGGTCTTGAAGTATGTTGACCAGGCTCGAAAGCGGGTAACTCCTTCACCCAACTATGTGTAGTTTGTCACGGTGACAGATGTCACAGGGAGGGATACAGGGAGGTTGCAAGGTGGTCTGAAGACTACGGGTCAAGACAAGCGAGTTGCAAAATAACATGTGAATAAAATCACAGAATATTCATAGAGTAACTGGGTCAGAAGTTTTCAGGGATATGAGATGATTGAATTGAAGACGTTTAGGCTTTGTCAGATGAAGTAACCACATGGGACAGGGCCGACACGTCACAAGTCTCCAATGAGTCCTATAAAAGACTCTAAGAGGAAACCGGCAAAATGTCCTTTGGACCACCCTGGTGTAGTTTGTGTGTGTGTGTTGAGAGTCCTTCAAAGATTTTTTGAACAGTTGCTAAAAGTTAGCTAACATGGCTGCAAGTTGTAGGTGTAAGTCTAATCCAAAACAATCTGAAACAAAAGATAAACAGAAACATGAGAGTATTTTTTGTTTCAATATGATAACACTAGGTAGGTACCGTACTTATTTTATTTCAAAGTTTTATGCCAATAAAAGTACCTAACGAGTATGATTGAAGAGTAAGAAATATTTTTAAATATTTTCCTTACAAATAAGGAAATCTGTAGCATAATTTCTGCCACTTGCATAAGCTAAATACCTGATAAGGTAAAGTTGTTGTGAAAAGGATGCAGTTTCAATGAAAACTTGTGTTAAATTGATAAATATGTTTTTAATAGCTTGATTGTAATATTTTTAGTACCGGACTGAAACATATGTGTGAGAAATATGTGAATGTGAATATTTATTTAATTTACAGAATCCCTTTGTACTGCTTCTTCATAGGATTTCGTGCCAATGAACAACCAAAAGCAGTAATAGTGTATACTCAATATGTTGTTTTATCTTCGATAAAATATAAGATTTAAAAATATTTTTCTTAAAATAGAGATCTTAGACTCCTAATTTGACAATATGTTTCATCCAGTAATATCCCTGTGTAATTTAAATACATCTTGATGTATGCAATCTTCCACCCGCCTATGTGCATAATATTTAACCAAAATAGTTAAAAGTTAGTGTTACTCTGATTGCAGTTATTTATATCTTGTAAGGTTAAACCTCATAACCAACATTTACTGGAAATATTTTGTTTATTTCTGGATAATTTTTCAAAGCTTGTCTCTTTTAATTTTGTTATTTCTTGTGAAAAAAGTATTTAAGCATATCCAAAACATGAGGACCATGCTAATCAATATAAAAATAACATTTTCACTTCAACAAGCCCGTATATGATTCTTAAAATTGTTATTTTATGTTAGGCACATTAGCTTTAAAACAATGAAGTAGGCTAATAATAGGTACCTTCTAACAATGTTTGCATTATAAAATTGGTCTACAAATAATTAAACAGACTTACCTTGGTTTTATTGCTGTTTTCTTTCATCAGATACACTGAGCTACTTAAAAACTAGTTAGAAAGTATTAAAAACTTGTAACATTGCGTTAATTTAATTCTACATCATTTTCATTTTGGAAGTATTAATGAAGTTTAAAATTTGGTTTTTATTAGCAAAACGTTTATTATCGGATCTCAGTTAATCATAGACTGTTGGATACTGAAGTGAAGTGAAGGTTAAATCTATAGCTGTCCATTCAAAATAAAATCTGCCAAGTAGGCTAAAGTATTTTTATTACTTTCTCCCCCTATACCATAGTTTAGAGAAAGTATTGTTTTTGTCAAAATTTTCGAGATTGAGTTTTGAGTGGATATATTCGTTTTGGGTCCCCCTGGACCCAAAAAAGTGGTTTTCGAAGTGATGTCTGTGTGTGTGTCTGTGTGTCAGTGTGTCTGTGTGTCTGGATGTGTACAGAGCTAGAGACTACACCTGTGGTCCGATTTCGATGAAATTTGGTATGTAGGTTTTAATCCATGGTATCTCCAGGATTTTTTTTCATTTTTTTGAAATTTTGATTTTTAATTGGGATTTTCCCATAAAAACCCATAAAAAACCGGAAAAGTAGGATTTTCAAAAAAATGGCCTGAACGATTTTGATAAAAAGTTAGTATGTTGTAGCCCTTTAAATTCTGAACAAAATGGTACAAATCCCATTTCTGTAAAAATTACGGTTCAAAAGTTATGGTAAATTATGTTATTTTCCCATAAAAACCCCATAAAATAACAAAAAATAGGATTTTAGACAAAAACCGGTTTTGATTTAACATAGTATGTCATGGTCCTTACAGTTTTGATAGTTTTTTCATTTTTTATAAATTTTGATTTTTAATGGGGATTTTCCCATAAAACCCCATAAAATAACGAAAAAATAGGATTTTCCCAAAAATGGCCTGAACGATTTTGATAAAAATTTAGTATGTTATAGTCCTTTATATTCTGAAAAAAATGGTAGTAATCCCATTTCTGTAAAAATTACGGTTCAAAAGTTATTGTAAATTTTGTTATTTTCCCATAAAATAACGGAAAATAGGATTTTAGACAAAAACCGGTTTTGATTTAACATAGTATGTCATGGTCCTTACAGTTTTGATAGTTTTTTCATTTTTTATAAATTTTGATTTTTAATGGGGATTTTCCCATAAAACCCCATAAAATAACGGAAAAATAGGATTTTCCCAAAAATGGCCTGAACGATTTTGATAAAAATTTAGTATGTTATAGTCCTTTATATTCTGAATAAAATGGTAGTAATCCCATTTCTGTAAAAATTACGGTTCAAAAGTTATTGTAAATTATTATGTTATTTTCCCATAAAAACCCCCATAAAATAACGGAAAATCAGATTTTCCCAAATTTGGCTTGAACGATTTTGATAAAAATTTAGTATGTTATAGTCCTTTAAATTCTGAAGAAAATTGTACAATTCCCATTTCCGTATATTTACGTTCACTGCTTACACATGATAAAGGTTGTTGACAAACTTATGGGAGAAAGTATGTGTCAGAATGCTGATACCGTTTATATTTTATGTAAACAAACAACAAATAAAACATATGGTTTACCAAAATAAATCAAAATTATTAGTAAAGTGTAAACAATTTCAAACTCAATATTTTTGATTCAATATCATAATAGACCTCAGAACTTACTTATATTATAGTAGTTCACAGAGTTTATTGATTGGAGTGTTGATGAAATGCAGTCCTAACTACCCTTCATGTAATTTTGAAAAATGACCATGTCTGCAAGTTTAGTGATTTTTAGAGCTTGGAACTATGAAGTCATGAGACAACCAATAATAGTGTTCCTTAAAAAACCTAAATTGACCTGAAGGTAATTGTTTTTCCTTTTCCTTGTGAACAAATTTAACTAATCAGTAATCAAACTACTAAAATAGACATTGGATGAGTTTAACAAAGCTAAGCTAGAAATTTTATTAAGATAGGTACTTTTAATCATGTCCAAAATAATCTACACGTTCTCATAATTATTATGATATGATTAAAAGATTAAAGATTGATATTATTAGATATGATTAAAAGTATCTTAATCAAATTTCTAGCTTAGCTTTGTTAAACTCATCCCGTTTATATTATTATTATTAATTCATGCAAAGCTAAGAATATGATAAAACTTATCTACATGTTTCTAATTTACAGTTTTAATCTTCAATTTCTTATTATATTACTTACGATACAGAGAGCTTGCTTGTGACTTGTTTGAAATTAATCTCAAATATAAATGTTGTTGCTAAGTAACTTATTTATCATTCTTTATTCAAATGTTAGGTATCTGTTTTCTGCTATGTTTTGTTGTAACCAAGGTGAAGTAAAATGTTAAAGTATTTTCTTGATTGCAAGGGCGGTCCCAGGGTGGAGCCCCGGGGGGGGGGGGCGTCAAGGGGGTCGTGACCCCGCAAAATTTTGAATATCCTATATAAACTATTATACCTACCAGTGGAACTTTAATAAGTGATTGTAGTGAGTTACCTACCGGTAGTTTGCTAATTGCACTGGAGAAGGGAAGTATGATAGGCAGGAACGCAACCCGAGGTGATGAGATTGTAGTGTTATCGCAAGTTAAATTAAAATATAGTTTTTAATAAGACAAATACTTTATTAGGTAGCTTTTTACAATAAACCAGATTCCGAATGTTTACCAACAAAAACTAAACAAATAATATTCTAACACCATATGTTTTCAAACACATATGAATAACAACACATCTCCCCTTTAAAGATCGAACCTCCGGGTAGGTTTGAATTGTCTTGTTGATCTTCTTAGATTCGCTAAAGGATTTGTCTGCGATGGTTCTGATCTTCTCAGGTTTTCTGAGGGACTGGTCTGCAGTGCTGGTTGATCAGAAGGCATAGTAGTGCTAAATCTTTGCAGTGATCTTCTGTTCCTCCGCAAACAACCATCTTGCGTTTGAATTATGTAGGATCGAGGTGCATGGTGTTTGTTTAATATAGTTCCTTCTTGATTCCTGTCCTTTATATGGACTTGAGCTCCATCAGGTAGAGTAGGCAATTCTGTGGCTCTATGTCTTTTGTCAAAATAAATCTTTTGACGATCAATTCTTGCTTCTTCCTTTTCCCTTAACTTTTCAGTGTCTACCAGATAGGGTATTAGTTGATCAGACATTATCGGAACATAAGTGCGGATCCTTCTCCCGAAAAGTAATTCCGCTGGACTTTTCCCATTTTCCAGAGGGGTGTTGCTCTTAACATAAGTAGCATTTTGTGGGGATCATCACTTTTTTCTAAGTGGTACTTAAAGTTTTTTACTTGCGCTTCTATGAAGCCGTTGCTTTGTGGAAATTTTGGGCTTGATGTAATCAATTTAAATCCATAATCACGACCAAGTTGTTTGAATTGACAGCAGTCAAATTGAGAACCACAGTCTGCTCTCACTGTCTCAGGTACACCATGACGTGCGAAGATGGACTTTGTATATGTCACAATAGTGCCCATTTTTAAGTCATTTAGTCTGGCAATCTCCATAAACCTGAATAATAGTCTGAGATTAAGAGATACCAGTGACCTTTGCACTTCAGCAAATCGGCACCCACTATTTGCCAAGGTCTATCCGGATAAGGGGTTGGTATCAGCGGCTCTGCTCTCGTAGCGCGATTTTCTGCACATGTCTTGCAATTTTTTACTAGTTCTTTGATTTGTTGAGAAAGACGAGGCCCACCACACAGTCAATTTCGCAAAGATCTACATTTTGTTATGCCTTGATGTCCTTCATGAATACTTCTTAGTACATTAGCTCTTAGAGAATTTGGTATTATAATACGACTTCCAAAGAGAAGTATACCATTTTGCTCACTTATATCTTCTCTATGATACCAGTAGGGCAATACATCCTCTGGAATCTTAGATTTTTCTGGCCAACCTTTCACACAATACTGTGACACATGTTTTAGAGTTTCATCTTTCATAGTTTCTTGATTTATTTCTCTCAACCTTTCATCCGAAACTGATGGTAGAGTAGTGTCAATGTTTTGTATATAAGCCAGGATTTCCTCTGTAAGTTCCCATTCCTCTTCAGAGTTCTCTGTGTCTCGAGACAGTGCATCAGCCAAAATCAACTCTTACCTGGCGTGTAGGTAATGTCATACGTATATCTCATCAGTCGTAGTCGTATTCTCTGAAGCTGGGAGTAATATTGTCCAAGTCTTTTATCTTGAATATGGAGAGCAAGGGCTTATGGTCTGTCTCAATATGCAAATTCAACCTAAAATGAGGTGTTCAAACCGTTCACACCCCCAAGCAATCGCTAGAGCTTCTTTTTCTATTTGAGCCCAATTACGTTCGCTGATGACAAACTTCTCGAAGCATAGGCCACCGGACGTTTAGTTCCATCTTCTTGAAGCTGAAGTAGTGCAACTCAATACCGTATGACGAGGAATCCGCTGAGAGGAAGGTTTCTTTAGAAATGCTGTATAAAGCGAGACACGGTTCGGACATCAATGACAGTTTAATCTTTTCCAAAGCTTGGTCTTGATCAGGCCCCCAAACAAATTCTGTATTTCTTTGCAGTAAAGCATGTAGTGGATGAACTATGGTCGACAAATTACGAATAAACTTGGCTACGTAATTGACAACACCTAGAACTCTCCTTAGTTCTTTAACATTAGTTGGCGTCTTGAGTTTTTGGATAGCCTCAACACGAGAGGGATCTGGCTTAATACCATTTTTAGTTACAAGGTGGCCTAGTAAACTGATACTGTCATGCCGGAACACACATTTTGATCTATTAAGTGTCCAGCCCTTTTCCTGGAGCCTACACAAAACACTATGTAAATTTTTGTCATGTTCTTCCATATCTTTCCCGTATATAGTACTTTTCATCTTCATGTACTGTATATTGCTAAAACAATAAAAAGCCCGCTGCCACCATGTAGTGTTATCGCAAGTTAAATTAAAATATAGTTTTTAATAAGACAAATGCTTTATTAGGTAGCTTTTTACAATAAACCAGATTCCGAATGTTTACCAAATAATATTCTAACACCATATGTTTTCAAACACATATGAATAACAACACAGAAATAACAGATGTAACTTACTGTACAGACCACCTGCAGTCTGGACTTAAACTCCGTTGGGTTAACGGTGTCTGTTACTGATCAATTCCACAATTCTCAATAATGCAAAAACTTCACATTATTCAAGTTTATTTTTCAAACATTTCTTGAACCTTGAAATAAACTGGGAAGCTGCGAAGCTCGTACACATTAACCTAGGTCAATTTAATGTTGTATCTGTCAAAATAGCTTAAAAATCGCTCATTTATAAGCACGTCATTATTTTCGGGGGGCATTCCCACTAACGTTGCCCGTTGTCGTCACTGCTACCGACAGCAAAATTGGTTCTCAGTGTTCTCATTTTTTTCTACGCCAGTGGCATTTTATTAGAGGTCAACGTGAGAATAAAGTTTTTGTGATTTTGCTGGGAATTAAACCTGTGCCTCCCGCACCAAAGTCTAAGACATTAACTACAATGCTGTTGTTTCGTGGCTAGAAACACATCCAATTGGTTTGTGCTATTCCTAAAAATTCTATCAGGTCTTCTAATCATTAAGAAAATATGAATACTATTTCAATATTGAAAGTTTTAAAATTACATATCATTGAAATTATGTAATCATTGAATTACAAATTATGTTACTGTATTACAAATTCCAATTCCTAACGTTAAACTCACATAAATTAATATTCAACTACCTTTCAAGCAACTATTGATAAAACTTCTTTGATACTATTCTTTATCCGATAGCCAATTCAAGTTTTTATTAATCTATGTTACAACGGATGATAACATTAAATGCAGAAGTATTAAATAAGAAGAAGAATGCGGTTGAACGTCAAACGCCAGCATCGGACACTGCCGTATATGGCTGAAAGCGTCCATCGTCTGCCGATCTTCCCTATTTTTCACGACATACAAAAAATAGTCTAACTCAAACGATCCCAAGTTTTAGGTTTGAGTTTGTAATTAGTCCTATCATTTACCACAAGTGTACAATACACTACAATAAATTTGGTAGAACGATTTCGATTTGCAATAACAATGATTAAAGTTCCTGGTATAATAGTTTATATACAGGGTGTTTTTTTTTTAACTTGCATCTTTATTTATGTAAAAACCGCAATAGATAGAAATATGCAGTTTGCAGGAATTATCTATTGACGTAGGAGGCCCAATTTTCTTTAATTCAACGTTACATTCACATTCCCCCCCTTTCCCCCCCTGGCCCCAACTTAATTTTTTTAAATAGCAAGGTACCCCTTATGACATATCAAATGAAAGAGCGTGAAAAAAGAAAATGTTTGGTGAAAAAAATTTGAAAATCGGCTCATAAATTTGTGAGATATTTCACCCCCTTTCTCTCCCTACCCTTAACTTAAAATTTTGAAATTGTGAGATATCCCTTGTGTCATATCAAATGAAAGAGCACAAAAAAAGAAAATGTTTAGTGAAAAACATTTTAAAAATTGGCTCATAAATTTGTGAGATAATAAAAAATAATAGGCTAGGAGGAGATAGGGATTGCAATATTTCACAAATATCACATCTGATTTCAAAAACAATTTTACCAGATATGATTTTTTTTTTTCATTTGAAGTGTCACAAGGAATTGACATTTCAACATTTAAAGTTGAGGATAGGGAGAGAGAGGGGGTGAAATATAAAAGATGTATAAGCCGGTTACAAAGATTCTTCCACCAAACATTTTCTTTTTACATGCCCTTTCAATTGATATTTCAAAAGGTATATCTCGCAATTCCAAAATTTTAAGCTAAGGGAAGGGTGAGAAAGGGGGATTAATATCTCACAAAGCTAAATACAAATATTTGTTCACCAAACATTTTTCTTTTTTCAAGCTCCTTTATTTGATATGTCACAAGAGCCCCCTCCCCAGAACTTAATTTTTTTTTATTTGTTATTAAAAAAAATTAATTTCCGGGGAGGGTGGGGATACCTCACAAATATATGAGCCAATTTTAAAATGTTTTTCACTAAAAGTTTTCTTTTTTCGTGCTCTTTCATTTGATATGTCACAAGGGATATCTCGCAATTTAAAAATTTTAAGTTAAGGGTAGGGAGAGAAAGGGGGTGAAATATCTCACAAATTTATGAGCCAATTTTCAATTTTTTTTCACCAAACATTTTATTTTTTTATACTCTTTCATTTAATATGTCACAAGGGGTACCTTGCTAATTAAAAAAATTATGTTGGGGACAGGGGGTGAAAAGGGGGGAACATTAATGTACGGTAACGTTGAATTCAAAACAATTGAGCCCCCTACGTCAGTAGATGATTCCCGCAAACTGCATATTTCTATCTATTGCGATTTTTACATAAATAAAGATGCAAGTTTTTTTAAAAAGCACCTTGTATATAAAAAATATTTTGGGAGGGTGACGACCCCCTTGACACCCCCCTCCCTGGACCACCCATGGTTTTGTTCAAACTTCTGTAATGTACCAATACATTGAACCAGAAATAAATGTTTTAAAAATCTGGCTTGAGCTCACATTTTTTGAAAAAAATTTGTATACAAACAGTCAACTCTGTTCATTGATTCGGTTACTTTATATAGAATATAATTTTAGCATCAGGTTTACATTCAAAGCTTGCCTAACCTAAAACTATATATTCTTGCTAAATCCCTGTTTAGCTAGGTTACTCTTGCTTGCTTTGTAAAAATCATGTGAGACTTTTTATAGATTTTAACAGGATATTTGGAATTAACATCAGGCTTAGTTAAATTGTTATAATGTTTGGTCACCAACTAATACAATTCTTTAAAGTTGTTTGAAGATGCAGCCCACATTTTGTTTCTTGGGTTTGCTGTTGATGGGTTCTGTCCTGGGAGCTCCAAGTGAACCCATGGCACCTGCTAATGTCCCAACAGCTGATAAACCACCAACAGTTGATAAGTCACCAGCTGATATGTCGTCTGCTTCTGCTCCTCAACCAGACACAGCTGATCCTGATGTTGCCATCAGGGATGTTGAAGATTCTCTGAAGAAGTTGAGAATAAAACTGAATGATGCTGTGTCAGCCATAGTAGCACCAGCTGCTAATACAGTTAGTACACAACTGTTATACCTGTCATATTATTTTTTTGGTTATAGATCAAAAGCTGAAAATTCGAAGGTCCTAATTCTCTTGTATACCTCGAATTTTTGCAGCAATTCCCATCAGTAATATGAGCCCTACTTAAGTATATTTTAAGCCGAGGCTGAGTATTGACTTTATGTTCCCGATTATGACTGATGACATCAGATATAGGCTAGGTACTGAAGTAGACACTATTCTTGAGGTTGGTTGAATTTTAATTATATTAGTCAAAACTATTCTAGAATTTTGAGTTAGGGTATCAGGAGTTTATAGTTTGAAGAAAATCTTGAACTGTTACCTATATGTTTTTACAAGGTTACAAGAAGGATCACAAACTATATTTTTGCACTATAAATTATTTAAAATATATAAAATCTACTAAATTATTTATATGAATTTTGCAGGCTGGTCAGTTCAAAGCTGCAGAAGCTTCAGTTGGGCTGAATATCCCTGAAATAAGCATCAAACCTGTTGAAATCACAGCAAACAAGAAGTATGCTGAGATAATTGGACAGTTTATTGCTGATCTAATACAGGTAAGCACGATCAAAACAATAGCTATAGTCTGTATGATGGAACCTGTCCCTTGATCCTTCAATGCCTGGAACAGGCCCAGACCTTGAACCATTGGATTATTGGCTATCCCTGGTAAACAGAGCGTCCAGAGATGGGTTTCATCATAGAGGACTTATAGTCAATCAATAAATCAAATAAATAAGCTTGTACTCTAGGTTTACTACTAGTGGGGAGGCAAATGTAGTAAAGTATGTCAAATAACAAAGTTGGCTCACCCCAATAGGTAACCGGTGAACACTATGCTAGATGATATTTTATAGTAGTAGAGATGATATTTTGACCGGTGTTCACTCTGTATGAGTGGGACTCTCTTATCTGGACGCCATTTTCAAAATGGCGGATGTCAACGTTTGATCTTTGAATAACTCGAGCAAAAATGATCCGATTTTGATAAAATTTGGTATAAACGTTTAAACTTACATTTATTTGAATGAGTTCGAGAACCAGCATGATCGGACAATGGGAGAGGGGGTTTATGGGGGGTTTTATGGGGTAAAAATGGGATTTTCTTATTTTTCGCCCCCAAAGCACAACATTTTCCAATTTCTCTCTAAACCATTTTAAAGAACTTAAAAAAAGAAATAATTTAGTATATTAACGTTTTTTGTACCCTTATTGGTTACGGAGAAAATTAAAAAAAGTGTTATTTATGATTCCCATGTTATTCTTATGGAGGATATTGTCAACTCTTGTAGTTTGCTTGTTTATGGATATATTTTGATCAAACTTGGTAAACTTATTTATTTATACTAAACTATTAATATTAATATTCTACTAACATTCACACTTAATTAGCCTCCCTGTGGCAGAAAACCTAGGTACTCGTTAAACCTAATTTTATTTAAATTGAATTAATTTAAATACAAATCAGGCAAATGGGACAGAGCTCGAAGGGAACGGACGTGCTTTCACCGACCTCCGCGGAGATAAGATAGTGAACTCTGAAATCGCATTTCGACGATCGTGTGCAGGCTTCCTATTAGTTTCAAAATTTTATTTTTTTCTCGGTTTAAACAATCTTAAAACAAATATATACGAAATGGCGGATAAATGTAAATTATGTCGAAAATCAATTACATCTCGCCACCTGAAAATTCAGTGCTGTGACTGTGCATCGCTTTATCATGCGTCCTGTGTGAAAATGTCTAAAGAAGATTTGGACTACCTAAACGACAACAACGAGGCTTGGCGATGTGACCCATGTTCCGTGACGAGGAGGAAAAGTATGCAGGTGAAGTCTCAGCTCGAGAAAGAAGATGTGAGTATAAAAGCTGTATTTGATCTCCTTCAAGAAATGCGTGAAGAATCCAAAGCACAAATTCGTAATTTAGAAACTGATCTTGGTAACTCTGTTGAAAGATGTCATCATGACATAAATGAACTCTCAAAGAAAATTGATAAACAATCAGAAGTAATAACAAACTATGAAAAACGCTTTGAAACTATCAATCAAGCTAACTTAGCCTTAACAAAGAGAGTAAAAGATTTAGAAAGTCGCATTGTAGAGCTGGAACAATACTCAAGATCCAATTGTATAGAGGTAAATGGTATTCCTGAGCAGAATGGCGAACAAGTCATTGAGGTAGTGAAAAAGATCGGTAGTAGCCTGGGTGTAGAGATAAATGATAATGATATCGATGCATGTCATCGCTTAGGACCAAAACAAAATGCCGGCGGCAGTGACAGATCTCGGGGGATCATGGTCAAGTTTACCAGACGAGTGATAAAGGAAAACCTGTTGACCAAACGACGTGCTAAACGTAACTTAAATACGAAAGACATTGGATTTTTGACCGGTCCAGCCGAGGTAGTCTATGTGAACGAGAGTCTAAGCGTGGCCAAGAGACAGGTCCTAAACGCAACACGACAACTGAAGAAGGATGGACTTGTACAGTATGTATGGGTACGAAACGGAAAAATCCTTCTGCGAGTTGAAGAGGATTCGAGGGTAGAAGTAATAACGTCAAAGGAGCAGATTGAAGAACTACGCAGTGTACGCATCGCCAGCGTCAGCAACATCCCGTCAGCAACAGCGTCCCCGACTGGACCACGCAACGCAGACACTCCTCCACCACATGACCACGACACGACAAGTACGTCGCCTTCCGCACCACAGCTGGCACCACAGGTCACGACAAGTACTTTGCCACCATCCACACAACACGACATGACAAGTACCACGGACACCACGACTTCCGCAGATGGTGCTGAGTAGATGTGCTCTAGTCATCCCGATGATTAAGGTATCGAACATTTAAAAATGGTTGTCTCTGTAAATATAATTAGATTTGTAAATTTTTATGTTAGCTTATTTTTAAATTGTCTTTATTTAACTTATAATGACAACGGTTCTTGAAGATGACAGTTTTACTACTTGTAGTGCCGGTCTTATTATAGTCCAACAAAATATAAGGAGTGTAAGAAAAAATTTCGATTTATTTTGTGTTAATTCCAGAATTTAACAAAAAAACCTGACATTGTCGTATTGACTGAAGTATGGATTGAAGACCACGAAATATCTAAATATAGTTTATCCAGTTATGTAACGTACGCAAATTGTAATAATAACTATAGAGCTGGTGGCGTGATCATTTACTTATCAGACCGCATTTCTGGTCATTGTATTGATTCAGTTGGAATGCGGACAGCGGATGTCCTATGTTTAAAAATCGATATAAGCACAGATAAACCAGTATTCCTATCCATCGTTGGCATTTATAGATTACATGAGTACAATGTAGATATTTTTATCGATGAATTCGATGGATTATTAAATGCCATTGATAGTCCCAATCTTTTGATTATTGGTGATATCAACATTGACTTGATAAAAAAATCCCCACATGTAGACAATTATTTAATGAAAATGTCAAGGCATGGGTTATTTTCACTAATTGAAAAACCTACACGTGTAACAAAAGATACAAACACTTGTATAGATCACATATTATTTAGACGTAGCGCTAACCATAAGATAGATTATAAAAGCTGGGTAATAGATAGTGAAATTACTGACCATAGAATGACTGCTGTAAATCTTGTTTTAATATGTAACACCAAATCCATTCCTAAAAAATCAATCTTTTCCAAAATAGATTTTGTTAAACTAAAAACGATTATAAAAAGCGTTGACATGTCCCAAATATATTTAACAAACGATACATGCTTAGGTTTTGAAATGCTCGTCGGCATCCTAAATAATGCTGTAGCAGAATCAAAAATCTGTAAAATTAAAAGCTCTACACAAAAACTTAAACCTTGGATGAACAACACTTTAGCGAGTATGGTTAAAGAGAAAAATAAGCTATTTAAAAAATCAGCTAAACAGCCTAACAATCAAATACTTCAACAATCTTATAAAGAGTTCAAAACAGGTTAATAAATAAAATTAGAACTACTAAGGAAGTGTATTACAGACAAAAATTCGAGTTAAATAAAAATAATACGAAAAAACAGTGGAATGCAATAAACGAGTTAATCGGTTGTGAAAAGAATTCGAATCAGAAAATAATACTTACCCATGAAAATGACGTTTTGGTTCAAGATCAAACCGAAGTTGCAATATGTTCAATGATTTCTTCCTTACAATTGCAGATAAGCTTAGAGATGACATAGTCTCAGATATTGAGGGAATTAAAACTTCAAATAGTGCGTTCGACACCACGTTTCCAACACGAACCTATTCAATCAAATCAATATTTTTCTTTCCTACAAATACAGCTGAAATTAAAAGTATAGTTAGTGCATTAGAAGATAGAAAAGCCCCAGGTTTTGATGAGTTAACACCTGTTATCATTAAAAACATCATAGACAGCATAGATAATGTATTAGTCCATTTAATAAATCTTAGTATGTCTACGGGTGTATTTCCCAATATTCTAAAAGAGCTGTTTTAAAGCCATTGTACAAAAAAGGCGATAAAACTAATCCCACTAACTACCGTCCTATAGCCTTACTCTCTATCTTATCAAAAATAATAGAAAAGATTGTAAAGGAGCGTTTGATTAACTTCCTGAATAAAATTAATTTCTTTAGTAAAAACCAGTACGGGTTTAGAAGTAAAATGAACACAAGTAATGCTTTGTTAGATTTTATGTCTCAGGTTTACAATGGAATAAATCAAGGTAAATGCTGTGCAGGTATATTCGTCGATGTAATGAAGGCATTCGACACAGTAGATCACTCTATTTTACTGTCTCGAATGTACGAAGCAGGTATTAGAGGGATCCCTCTCAAGTGGTTCAGTTCATATTTATCAGAAAGAAGCCATGTAACTAGAGTAGGTGAATCTGTTAGTGAAATAGGTATTATTAAGCACGGAATTCCACAGGGTTCGGTATTATCTGGACCATTATTTCTTATTTATGTAAATAATCTTTGTGAAGGTGTATTCAATGGCAGACTAGTTGCGTTTGCTGACGATACTGCACTGTTTTACAGCAGTTCAAATCTAGAGCAGCTTAGACTAGAAATGCAAGCTGATATAAAGATGCTAAGAGTGTGGTTCACAAAACACTTTATGGTCATGAGTCCTAAAACAAAGTACATAATATTCAATTTGTCTCGTAACCTTAGCTTTGCTGAGCCATTAAGATATCATTCGTTAAATTGTAAAATGGATATACAGTGCCAATGTGCGGACATTGAACAGGTAAATTCAATTAAATATCTAGGCTTAAATGTTGACTCGAAGATATCTTGGAAAATACATATTGAGGCAGTTAGACAAAAATTATTGAAATACATCCGGATATTTTATATGTTGAGGCCAATCTGTAGGAAAAATGTTTTGAAATCTATATATTATGCTCTGATAAGTTCGAAAATCGAGTATGGGATTGAGGTGTGGGGAGGAGCATATTACTCAAACCTTAAACCAATAATAACCATACAGAAGTATTTTGTCCGCATAATATCAAACAAAACAAAATTCGAACACTCTGAACAATTGTTTAAAGATTTACAAATTCTAACATTTAAAAATTTGTATATTTTTAAAGTTTAAAAGCTTTCT